CTATAATCTGTATCTTTGGTCACACCATCTAGAAATGGGAGCTTTGGTGCAATAAACCTGAGAAACCGGCATAACCGAAAACCCACTTGGGAAGATCTGAATTTGGAGATAGCAGTGATCTTCAACAGTATCACAGGAGGGGAGGGCTGAATTCGAACTGGGGCCCAAGATCAGAGAACCGAGCAACCAGGTTCTATGGTGGAGAGCACATCAGCTGAACTGCCAGGTTGTCGCACTAGAGGAAAAAAACATACGCTCTGAAAGTATAGACCAAGAAGAGGGCATTCTTTAGGAACCTAAAGCCTGGACAGACCAACCTTTCCAGGTTGCTGGCTGGAAGTAAGAGAGAAACTAATAAAGAATCTGGGTAAGAAGACGGTCTGAATATGGGTACTGGGGTTGTTGTGAACTGAACAAGGGCAAGGAGTATGTAATGAGCACCTAATTAGGAAGGTTGGTGCTTGAGAAATGTCTGTAAAACGGCAGCACCCCAAAAAGTGGTGTGAGATACAAATACAGAATTGCAGATTAATATGTGCTAATTAGGAAGCTGTTACAGAACATGCAGGTGAATACATGTGTGGGACATATATCGCTCTGTTAGGTTTACCTCGAGGATAGACTAGCTTAAATTAGTAAGTTCTAAAATAAGATGCTAATTTCTATGGGTAGATGCAAAATTCACAACTATATAGTGAGTAATACCTATGTGTTAGAGTTATAATGGAGGTAGTTGGAACCAGATAGTTTAAATGGGTACCCTCCTAGTTGAGGTGCAGGTATAGCAGATATAGAACCTTCAGAAGGACTACTTAAATTAGGCACTCAAAAGGTGCACGTGTGGCTTGATATACTATCATTGTAACTACATTATAAAACTCAATTTATATTCTAATAAATGTTCCCCAGGACAAAGAAGTCCCTTAATAAAAAAAAAAAAAAAAAAAAATTTAAAAATTTTTAAAAATTAATATATTTAAATTTCAATTATTAATATAGTATTGACAAAAAATTTAAACAAATTTAATAAGATAGTTTTTGAAAATTAATTTTTAAAGTTATATAAAAATCTTTACTAAAAAAGTGTTTGTATAACTAAGTAAAGCAAAATTAAACAAGTTTTTTTTTAGTAAAAATCTTCATATAATATTAAAAATAATTTCTCAATAAATATTTCATTAAATTAATTTAAATTTTTTGTTATTATTATAAAAATAAGTTAATATAGTTATATCTGTAGAGTATATTAAATTTTTTTATACTAATTAATTTAATTATATAACATTATATAAAAAAAACTAGTAATACCAATATTGTTTAAATTAGAGTTAGGGTAATAACTATATTAGGGTTAGGGTTTAGGCTATTATATAGTAAAATTGCTCAAGAAAAACTCTTTATTAATACAGTCAACTCTGCAATAGTCATACTCATATTTGTCACAATCTCATTATAGTTTCTTAATTTTCTGCACAATAATATATGCTATATACACAATTTCACAATAGCATATAAAGTGGGTGATTTTGGCATATGACTATTGTGAGAGTTGAATGTATACAGAAGATGGTCTAGTATGCAATTTCTTGTGATATAAGTGATTTTTGTCAAAACAAATATTTGTTTGAATTTTCATGATTATGTAATGTTATATCTGATCTTGAATCTTAGCAATCTATAAATCACATAATAGGGGGTGTGGTGATCTAGTGTAGTGGCTAGGTTGTCACCTCCACCAAGTGGCAAGTCAAGAGTTCAAAACCCACTGACGGCGAAAATTCGAATAATTACCTGTGCTATGGCAACTGTCTTCCGTCGATCAGTTGGGATAGGATACTTGTAATTACAGTCGCACCAGCATGACTGGCAGGTCTGGGGCATCCATGCAACTTTGGGTTACATAGAGTAATGCAAACTGGCAATGGGCGGTGCAAACACTCGATAAGTCCCTAGGTCACGTAAATCCGTAGGACTGGAAGGACAGGAGCCCATTTAGGAAGACCCGAGTGAAGAGGTAGCACAAATCTTCGATGGTACTACTGTAAAGGCTAGACTCGGGAAAAGGGAAACTGAAGTAGAAGAACCGGACAGAGCACGATCGGTCTGTGGTAAAGCCGATCCACCAACCAGGCCGCCAGGTTAATCGGAGGAAAAGGTCATGGCAGAGCCGATGAACCAAGGACAAGTCACAGTCCTTCCAGGCCATCTGGATTGGTAGTCTAGGACTAAAGCAGAGGGGAACCGAAGTACTGGAGATATGCTGTGAAGTGGGTACAGGGGTTTGGGTAAACTTTGCAAGGGCATAGCCCTGTTGATAACCATAGAGTGGGTAGGTTGTTGACAGGGGGGCACCCTGAGCCTTGCTACTGGGTGACAGTACTCATTAAATTGGGTACGGCCTGGGTCCTAGCACAGAAAGGGAAACCAAATGTCGAGTTAGACGGCACCTTGGTGTATGGGAACTTATGGGGCTAACTGCGGAGTGGGTACAGAAGATCAGAGGGTTTAAATAGGCAATCTCCTAGCAGGTTGTAGGTATGGCAGCTAGTGTAGAACCTTTGGGCGGACTACTTAAATAGGCAACTAAAAGTTGTACGTGTGGCTAGTTGTACGCTCATCAATGTACCAAAAAATGTTGTATAAACATATAAAAATACAATAAAGCGTTAGCATCCATGACATCGGTTTAAAAATTAAAAAAAAAAAAAAAAAGATATTATAAGATGGAGAGAATTTTGGAGAATTATTGTATTTATGATATATAATAGGTACTATTCATTTTGGTTGATTTTAATTTTAGTTAGTGTTAGATGGAGTGATTGTTTAATTGTTTGAATAGTAGTATAATTAGTTGTAAGGATTTCTATATAGTTATTAAGTGGAATTAATAAAAGTAATAATACAATTATTTAAAGTTCTATTTGGAGTATATTTGATTATTAGAGATTGCTGCGTTGAATTTAAGAGATAGATAATTAAGAGTGGACTAGCTAATACTAACTAAAGATATAGTTGAGGAGTTTGAGAGTAATATATTTATAATAATTTATAAAGAAGTATCTAAGTTAGTTGGTATATTTTGAGATTGGTTATATAAGAAGAGTATCTGTTTAATATATGTTGGGTTGGAGATTAATTTTTGTATTAGAAATTGATGTAGTGATAGTATTGGAATAGAAGAAACAGTAAGTGGTATTGAGAAAGATTTGAGATTGAGTTGTATTAATGATTGTAGTTCTAAAAAGTCAATTTTAAGTGTTATTGGTGTTTTTGTTAAGGATAGATGGTTAGGGGGCATCCATAAATAACATTATGTTTGAGGGGGGGAGGGGTCCCCAAAATATAACGATTTTCCAATATTTAGAGGGGGGTCCCCCCAAAATATAACGCAATTTTTTTATAAAAATTTGTCTAAAATTTGATCTAGTGATCAAAATTGGATGATTTGGTACCATTCGAATCCTCTTGTGGAGAGGAGTCGAATAGTACCAATTTCATTTGATTTGGATTACTAGATCGTGTTTTGTTAACGAAATACTATTAGTTATTATGTTTTCTTATAAAATTATTATAAAATCAATAGTATTTCATTAATAAAATATTGTCCAGTAGTCCAAATGAAATGATTTTGGTACTATTGGATTCGTCTCATAGAGATGAATTGAATGATACCAAAATCATCCTAATTGGATCACCAGATCTTAATATATCCAAGATTTTGCAAAATTATATATATAAATATATGGATTTTTAAAAATTTTTTATATAGTTTAGGGGGTCAAGAGCTACTATGTAGGGATACATAATATTATATATGGATGCCCTCTTATAGAGATTGATAGTATTTAATTGTGATATATCTGATATTGCTTATAATGAATATTAAGAGGTTTGAAAGGTTTGTTGAGAAATTGTTAAAAGAAATATATAGATTATTGTTATAATAGTAAAGTTGTTAAAGATTGTTGTTGGTAAAAGATCAAGAGTATTAATAAATGGATTTATATTATTAAATTTAAGTGTTGAAAGGGTTGTTGGGATAGAAGAGAAGGATATTTGATTTTGTAAATTTTTAAACCAACTTGAAGTTTTCCTTGTTGCTTTACCAGTTCGAAGATAGATATTGTTCTATAGTAATAAATTATTATTTGTTGCAGTTAGTAGTTGTTTTACAAAAAGAATATGATTATTGCAAAAACTTTGTATTGTAAATTTGTTTGGATTTGAAATAATTTGATAAATAAGATTAGAACTAGGAGGTTGATGAAGATTAATAAGTTGGTTAATTGTTAAATAGAAGATATTAAGTTCATTTTTAATAATTGGTTATAAATAATTAATTATAGTATAGTGTTGAGTTTTGTTAAAAGTAAGTAAATTGGTAGAAGTGAGTAATTTTTTATTTTAATACTGTTATTGTATTTTGGAACGCTGTTCCAGAGCAGGGTAATACTAAAAAAACACCTTTCAGGTATTTTTTGATTCTGGTATTACACTGCTCTGGAACAGCGTTCTGCGTTGCAGAACTAGATTGTAATTTTAAAGAATTCACCAAAATTCTCAGGCATTTTTATAAATGAAAATCAGATTCTAATAAGACAATTTACATGATAACTAATCAGAATGAGTCTAAATTTGGCTTTGTTCTTATCAACAAAGAAAACGAATAAAAATAATTCAATAAAATGAGTCTGGATTTGGTTAATTGATACTGTTATCTGATGAATATGCGGTCATATGCACGCCACATGCGTTCAAATATACTCACCAATCCTTCCATTCAACCTAAATCTGGAGCGACAAACAATACCCTAAATATGTTTTGATTATGATCTACTGATAACAAGCATAAATTGTTATAAAAAATACTACTTTCAAACCGTACAAATCCAAATTTTTTACAAAATTTTTACAAAATTTTCAAGATTTACATGTTTCTAACCGTATTTTTTCTTATCATCTCCACACCCGTCATTCTACAATACATTTTTGAATTTAATATGGAAAATCCAGAAAGGATTACTATTATAACAAGATCTTCAAGCTTAGAAGTTGAGATCGACAGTCCACCGAGATACGAAGATGTTGTTAGAATGCCTAATACTTCTCCAGGTTAATAAAACTAGCAATTTTTACTGCTTCTATCTCAAAATTATCGCAATTCTTACAACAAAAAATAAATCTAACATGGCTTTTCAACCTATTGTTGAACAAATTGAAACAATAACTTTAGAAGAAGTCACAAATTCTAATGAAGGTAAGTTGAAATACTAATGTTGTTAAATTTATTACTTTGTTAATATATATTCTATTTTTAGAGTTAAGAAATCATTTGTCAGAACAAGTGGCGAATGCAGAATATCAACGCCTTGAGAACAGAATTCGTTCTCTTGAAGATACAACTACATCTTTAAAAGAGACGAAAAGAGAATTAACAAATTTTATTTATTTATTATTTTTAATTATTTGTTTCGGTTGTTTCTACATTTACAGAATCAACGAAACTAACTCAACTTTACTTCATAATGCTGTTGATGATAGAGTTAAAAAAGAACATTTTTGTAGATTATTAATTGAATTAGTAGAAAAATATTTATCAATGTAAAGAGAATAGACAGCTAGGCTGTTTGTTTTCTGATTGATTTTCACTGTTCACGATGTGTGTGTGAAACTAAAAATTCAGTTTCACACACACATCTTGAACAGTGAAAATTACACTGTAATCTATATTTATTTTCTTATTTCTAATAAAATTTATTGAATTATTTTATTAATTTTTTTAAAAGTTTACGTCTTTCAACACTAATTTGCTCTGAAAGTTCTTTAAAGTACATTTCTAATACGAATATTGGTCGAATTAATTTTGGTTTGTAACGAAATAAACATGGATCAAATTTGTAAAAATCTGATGACATTGCTAAATTTTTTACTAATTGGTTTTTGTCTTCTGCTTTAAAAATATCATCACGCATCTTTTGATATTTTACATAAACATGATTTGTTTTTTTCATCTTGTATCTTTCACATTCCACTAAAACAGACACTACTGCTTGTGAAAACTCTTCGTAAAGAGTTGGATGATCTAATTTAATTCGTCGTTGTACGTCTTTGAGATCATACTCTTGTTTAATTATCGATTTGAATTCCTTGTTTATCCATCTTGGTAGTCGTCGTCTAACTTGATTCTTTGTCTGTTTGTTACGTACGGGCATAGAAACTTTTCTTTCTTTTGCTTTATCTCCTATCACTTTGTAATAGAATTCCAACTCTGCGATCTTGATCAACAACCTAGGATAATCTGCATAAAGATGCGGTTTGAACTGATATTGACTATATTTTAGCGAAAGATCGATCACAAATTGGTCTTTGTCTTGAGCATCATCAATCTCCTTCGAGATCTTTTCATATTTCTTTACCAGATTTTTTAAGTTGTAAAAACGACAGAAGTGAAGTATCTCGATCAAGATATATGTGAATTTCGCATGCAAAGAATCATCATTGATTGAAATATGTTTTTGTAAACGTGATTTATTTTCTTCAAGATAGTCCCAAGTAGCAGCATTTTTTTTATCCATGTTATTCAGTTTAATCAAAGGAGGGGAAATTTAAGTCTTTTATAGTTTTTTCAAATTTGATTTTGTAATTTATTGCTTTTTGCTTAGCTATTTCATCATCAAATTCACCTTTAAAGTACTTTCTAATCCTTTTTTTTGCTATAACCCTTTCATAAACCCATGAATTTTTATGCTTGTAGTAAACAATATTTGATGTTCCGGATACATTTAATTTGTGTAATTTTCGCATCACAACTTAAATTAACATTAGAACAACAATTAAGATATTTATAATAAACACGCAACGGACGTAGCCGAATTCCTTGTTCTTACGTTGTAGCGAACGCGTCATTCTTAGACCCCGCAACGGGTCGCGTCCGGTTAAAAAAAAAAGTGGGTGGTGCGGCTGCGATGCGCCGTATTGGTAATTGGTAATTGATAGTATATGTAAAATGCCCCAGCTTGCGCCGTATTGGTAATTGGTAATTGATAATATTATACAGATTCAGTAAATATATACTTTCTAAAAAAAAATATGGGAAACCGGTTTTGAAGTTGACGCGTAATGAACCAATAATATTATTTGTGCTGACAAAATGATTTATGAGATTTGCAAAGTAAAAAGTTTATTTAACGCAAGAATT